TCCTCCTGATTAGAGTAAGGTGTGGGGACAGGGCACCATCACGTGGGTCAATACATTACTTAAATGCCTTAAAAGGCCAAGGTGACAAAGGACCTACAGGTGTTCAAAGGTTCATAGCCACCCAAAATACCAAAACATGTTACCCTACCAAAATCTCACCCCTCAGTGTTTATGGTGAACACAAACACGTTGTCCAATTTGTTTGGCCTTTTTTTTTTTTTTTTTTTTCTCTCTAGGTTCTCCCCTCGCCCTCGTCCCCGCCCGAAACAGGTTTCTCTGTGTAACAGCCCTGGCTGTTCTGGACTCTGTAGACCAGGCTTGCCTCAGTCACAAAGATCTGCCTGCCTCTGCCTCCCTGGTGCTGGGGCTAAAGGGGTGCACTACCGTGCCCAGCTTGTCCAATTTGTAAGAAACTGAAACTTTTGCTTTTGGCTGGAGACCCCCACAAACTGGGAACAGATAACTAAGAATGTTATGGAGATGATGCTTACAATTGTTTTCAACTCTGAACTGCTGGGCCCCAAAGCAATGGTATAGGTTAACCCAAGAAATCTCTCCAGCGGGGCTATGCATAGAAACCCTGACTCGAAAATAGAAGAGAAGAGAAGAGAAAGAAAGAAAAGGAGGGAGGGAGGGAGGGAAGAAGGAAGGAAGGAATCTCTCTCCTCATCTAAACGAGGCACTGAGGTAGTTGTGCTGGGACTTCTCAGGTCAGAAAACAGGCCACCCTAGAAATATTTTTTTAATTCATATTCTTTTTTTTTTTTTTTGGAGGGGGGGGGGACTCTGTTCTTACAAGTGATCTCACACATCTGGAATCTAAATCTACTGCTTTAGTGTGTTATATTAATCTCCTATCACACACACAAATGACACTACTTTGGGATTTATAAAAAAGCGAGTCAATTTTAAAAAAAAATATTGGGTAATATTTTAAAATATGATCCAAAGAGCAGACAGGAATAGCTAAATCTATTGAAATAGTCCTCATGCCCAATGTCTAGAAAATCCTGCTTTAAAGTCTACTTACCACTGACATGAATTAAAAGCTGTTATTTTAGAAGCCTTAGATAATAAGCCTGAGACCAGGAGTACTCTTCCTGCAGTCCTCCCCAGAAACACAATAACAGCAGCTTTTCGGAAAACTATTCTACATCGCTCATTTCCCATCCAAACAAACTGTAGGCCAAGGACAAGGGCCTAATCAGGCTCACAGAGAAGGTCTTTGGAGCCCTGACTCAGAGCACAGCCCTCACACTCAACCAAGAAAAACTAAAGGAACCATCCCCCGCCGTTAGGTCCAAACTGACACACGTTACTTAAGACACGCCTGGAGCTGCATCAAAGCATAAGTGTTGGCCCCGGAAAGCGCAGCAGGGCCCACCTGGTTCCCTTACAGCAGCTGCCCCTGGCAGTGCTGTGCCATCCTAGGAGGGGCAATGAGACAGGATGGCGAATGGACGCCATGGAGGACATCGTTAGGGGCCATACAAAGAGGGCTGGGAGAAGCACGATTTTTCTGACTTATAGGTTTATGGGGGTTAACTTATTTTGTATTTTCACTTTTTTTTTTTTTTTTTCATACTTAAGACCCAGGCAGTTTGCAATTGGCTGAAGATAGGACCCAAACCCTTGGCATATGCACAGCTCAGACTGACTTTCCTGGACCATTCTCGTGCCCACGTTATGACGTGACATTTCACACACTTATTTTTAATTCCTATAGATTTCCAATATCCTCTCCCTCCTCAGCTCTTTGCCAGGAATGCGAAGTACAGTCTTATGTTCCCATAACTTTAGCCACCTATTTACCCCTACACATTCCAGAATCTAAGCGTTTCAGTCAGATTTTTGTCTTTACTGACTGCTTTACCTGACACTACCCAAAACACTTGTCTTGCAAACAAGTATATTAAAAAATATTTGAATCAGGTGGACATTGCTGCAACCTTTCCCATCAAAGCTTGAGTTAGATTCTGTCAACTATTTCAATCCTCTTCTGGTCAACGTTGAGTCTCTCATCTTCCCCCTCCCCCAAACTTGCAGCTTGTTAAATTTATCAATCTGATTGTTCTCCATACTCATCTCACTTGAACAGCACCTGAATGGGTTGCTGACACCCTTCCCGGGACACCTTTATTTAGAAGTGTCGGGCCACCTTTTGGCTTTGAAACTCTGAGAGAGGGCCTCTGCTGTTTCCTACTTTGGATGTCAGAACAGCTCCAAGCCAGCTCCTTCCTCTTCTGAACAACTTGGTTGCTATCCACATGTGGCTCCCTGACAACATCAGCAAGCCTTGCTGAAAATGCAGGCTGTGCATAACAGATGGAGATAATGCACACAGACTTGAAAAACACTAACTGAATCACACCGACTCTCCCAGTGCTAATCCCATCTCCTCCCACAGCTCTCCACACACAGGACTCCATGAGCTGCCCTAGAAATTTGTGAGTCATTTTAAACTCAAGTACCAACTCCTCTCTCTTCCAGAACCACTTGGTTGCTATCCCAAATGTGCAGAACCTCCACCCTGAGCCTTTAGAACAAAGATCCAAGAGTCACTCGTCAGCACTTAGTTCTCTAACCCCTAGGTCAAAACTCATTAGCTATGCCTTTGAAAACAAAATTCGAGGGCTTGGAGAGGTGGCTCAGTGGTTAAGAATACTTGTTGCTTTTCCAAGGGACCACAGTTCAGTTCTCAGCACCCACGAGGCAGCTAAAAATCTAACCTCAGCTCTGAGAACTGGATGGCCTACTCTAGGTTCGCCATCAGACAGCCTTTCTAGAGCTAACCACACACACCTAAACTGTCATTTGGGAGGCAAACAGTTCTGAGTTTTCTACCACCCCACTATCATGGAGTGGGGGCTACAGGTTCACAGTAGCTAGACTGATCTTTAAATACAAATCAGACTGTGACTCAAGTCTTTCAATGCCTTCCCAAACTTCCCGCCATGGTTTCCAAAAAGCCTTTGTTTTCCAGCTCTTTCCTCCATGCTCTAATGCTATTTCAAGCACATCCTCCCCAACCCCCGAAGTTCTGACCTCCTCACTTCAGTATTAGTTTTGTGCTCTGACTACTTCCTTAGAGGCCCTTCCTAGCTCCCTACATGGATACTCACCCCTCTTTCATTTCCTGGGTTTATTGTGCTTTACTTTCAATTAGCCACAGAAACTCGATAACATCTTGACACCCTATACATCTGACTTTTCTGCTAAAGTGAGTGGTCCACAAGAGGAAATTTTTCGTTCATGTCTCAACAGGATAGAGCAATTTCTGGTACAGAGGGACAGTGCTCAAACTACCGATGCTGGAGGCTCTGGAGCTACAAAAATCTGAATGCTGACAAACCCCCCCCCCCCCCCCCCAGTTTTCAATAGGCTGAAATTTTCAAAATGGGGCAGTGGTTTCAAAACTTTTCTATACATTAAGATGGGGACCTTTAAAAGAGCCTAATAATGTTTAAGTCACATTCCAAATGAATTATCCATTACAGTTGCTGGGGTTGGGGCCCAGGGACCAATGCCTTCAAACTTACTAGGGTAATTCCATTGTGAGGTAAGTTTGGGAATCTCTGTCACACAGTAGGAATTGAAGAATGGTAAGCTCTCCACAGTCATCCCTCAAAGCTTTGAGAGCTTGCGCCTACTGATTATGTTAATAGCGACCGTTAAACAGCTATCTTTTCCACCGGGCATGGGGGCACACGCCTTTCATCCCAGTACTCAGGAAGGGAGAGGCAGGCGGACCTCTGTGAGTTTGAGGCCAGCCTGGTGTACAAAGCAAGTCCAGAATAGCCAAGGCTACACAGGGAATCCCTGTCTCGAAAATAATAATAATAATCATCATCATCATCATCATCATCATCATCAATTGGCAAGAAAAAATTCCCTTGAGTCAAAAATAATGTTCATTTCTTCACCTCTAACCTCACCCTTAAAACAGTCTTCATATGTCAGGATGGAGGATACTAATGAAAGAGAAAAAAGCCATTCCATTATTAAAATCTTCCACCGCAGCATGACATTGAAATTTCAAAAGAACAGTAGAGAAGGTAAAGCCAACTCATTTTTCAGGTCAACGGCCCAGCATCCAGACAAAGTGAAATGACATGCCTAGACGTCACACAGAGAGCTTGAAGAGAAAAAAGCAATTTTTTTTTCCAAACAAGCAGAATTTTTCACATGTTAGTCAAAAGGAATCAAGACTGTCAGATCAGAAAGAAATGCTGAGTAAGAAGTATGCTACACATGAGTTTAAAGGACTAGTCCATCTGCTGCCCTCCGTAATCAAAAACTGCTCCAGCACATGGACATACACCCATCAAGATGCTTAACCTTAAAATATCAAAATCCTGGAAAATTCATTTTACAGATACATTATCAATTGTATTGTTATAATGAAATTAGTTCAATAAACATGAAAACCTCAAACAGCACCAATACCAGAAGGTAAGGTAAATATACTATGAATTAAAATAATGTATAATTATTCATTGGGACAGAAATAAACTCTAGCCCCCAGAAGAACTATTTAAAATAACCATTTGACAAAAAAAAACATTTAAAGACTACTATATGCCCTTTTCCCACTGACATGCCTGTGGCTAAACAACCTAGCAGTGGGTCATATGAAAAATATCAAAACGCATCTTTAAGTTGTTCAATCTTTACCATGATGCTAAATAATCCAAATCTTGCCAGTACAAGCCAACGGCAGCGGTTTGGGTACTCTAACTAGTCTCACCTGTCCTGATCAAAACAAAACAAGTCCCTTATGAGGAACTAGATGAAGTATGTCTGTTCAGAAAAAGCAGTGGCATTTACAGATGCTACAATAGACAGGTATCAAAGGCTACCAAGGAAATACAACAGCAAACACTCCAGTGACAGCGCATTATTGCACATGGAACCACAGATTACTCTTCTCTTTAGTTCCCAGAATTTCTGGAAGACTAGAGATTTAACAAGTATATTAATACACGGGGCCAATAAGAATCTCTAAACAGGATAATGTTCATATTTGAAATCACCAAGATAATTTGACACAGAGGAAATCCAACAATACAGCAAATTCTTAAGCACACAGAACTAAAATGTTGGCAAAACTTTTGTGTTTACCCCCAAAACAGCATAGGGGTTCGAGGGGAAAATGAAATAGGTGTGGTTTGGGGAGCTGCTTGAAGTTCGTTCACACCACTCTATCCCTGATCCCTGCTCCTCTCATCAGGGGTTCACAAGACTACCTGGCTGAAAATATTTGGTAATTCAGTGCAGAAAATTAAGGTCACAGACAAAGTACAACAACTTTTAATACACCATTAATACTAATGATTAAAAATTATTGCATAGTCTTATGCATTTGCCCTAAAACATCTTCCGAAAGTAAACCAGGTATATAAAAGACAAGGAACCCTTTGAAAACACGGCGAGCCTCCGCTACCTCGTTCTTCTCTCCTTTTTTGTCTTTTCAGTACTTTTGTCCATTGTTTTCTCATTGTCTCCCCTGCACTTTGGGCAATACCATTTCCCCTTTGGTTTATAGGTGAGCGACACGCATGAAAAGTGAAACCATTCTATGGGACACTGATCGTTGTCACAGCCGATCATCTCCCCGTAGGACACTTGGTTACATAAGCAGTAGGTAGGTTCGTTGGGGTCTATTGCAAACTCAACAGGCGAGGCTTCCCTCTCCTGCTTGGCCTTGGAGCGCTTCTTCTTCTTGGCAGATTTGGATTTCTTTTCTTTCGGTGGCTGATCATCACAGTCTTCAATCCCATTTGTCATGTGACATAAATCACGGCTCTCACTGGTCCGCTGTCTTCTCGGCCTTCTAGAAGATCTTTCAGGTTGGCTAGAATCCATCTTCGCTTTGTCTGAGGCCCGCTCACTTTCAGCAGGATCTTGGAAACACTGTGAATGTAGCTCCATTTGTCTTGCTCGGTTTTCCACCAATTCGAGCATTTGTGTGACAATCTGAATTTTTTCATCTCCCAATTCTTGGCTATTGATTAATGCTCTCTGGAGATGCTGCTGTAGGCGTTTTTTCTGGTTTGAATCATCTTCTTTCTTATATTTTTCATAAACGTCATCAATTTCCTTTAAGGTTTCTAAAAAGAGGAAAAAGGAGAATATGATGACATATTAGCACATACGTCATTTTCAGGTTAGAGTTAAAGCAGGAAAGCACATTCTACAGTATGTATACACTAAGCACATTATTCTCATATAAATTCTATGTCATCCAATATCAAAGTGTACTTATGGACGAATTGCTCTCGACAGGTAAAGGGGCTTGCTACCAACCTGACAACCTCAATTTGATCTTTGGTATCAACATTGTAAAAGTTCAGAACTGACTCCTAAAAATTACCCTCCAACTTCCATATGTGCATTCTTTTGCCCACACACAATAAATAAAAGCAATTTTTAAAAAATTTAAAGGCTGTTCTGGTTAATTTTTTGTCAACTTGACAGAAGCTAGACTTACTAAGGAAAAGGAGCTCTCAATTGAGAAAGTGCCTCAATAAGATCAACCTTTGAGCATTTTCTTAAATGATGACTGATGTACGAGGCCCAAGCACACTGTGGGCAGTTCCAACCCTGGGCGGGTAGTTCTGAGCTGCACTAGAAAGCAAGGCTGAGCAAGCTGTGAAGAGCAAGCCAGTGGGCAGAACGGTTTATGTTCTAGGTCATGCCTCCAGGTTTCTGCCCTGAGTTCCTGCCCTGGCTTTCCCCAGATATGAACTACGACCTGAGAGCTGTAAACTGAAATAAACCCCTTTCTCTCCAAATTGCTTTTTGGTCATGGTGTTTTACCACAGCATGGTAATAGAAACCCTAAGACAAAGGTAATTAGGAGTACACTAACAAAAACCACACATGAACATTTTTAAAGGTATTTTAAAAGGTAAAGGGGACAGGGAAATGCCTTAGTCTGTAAAGTGCTGGCCACATAATCACGGGGACCTAAGCTGATTCCTTACAATTTTCTCAGTTCCTTACTGCTTATTCTGTATTTGAACATCAAAACAACTCTATATACAAAATTTCCATGCTGGACTCCAGCCATAAAACCTGAAGTGCTGTGTGTTTACAGGACTTACAGCTCAATCAGTTACTAGTTACAGGACTCCAGAGAGGCACATTACCTTAATTTTCACACGCTACTCTTGGACACTCTTTAAAAAGGCAGATGTCAGAATCTCTGAGCTTCCTGTCATCTCAGTTTTAATGGCTCTTTTACTGTAGCATCAGATGGGAAATTCTGAAAATCAAAACTATTTCCAGAGCTCATCTGCTGCTCCTGGCACCCACTGACCAAGCCACTACCAATCAAGTCCCGTCAGCACTGGATCATTCTATCGCTGTACCTAACTCAGCAGCTGACCCAGTGCTTGCTGAAGCTGCTGACACAACTGTGGAAAAAGTTGGGACACTTTTAAATCAAGCAATGGCTGAGTCACCAGAAACCTAATTATGTTTAGTTTTACTCAAATCTGCTCTGTCTCTTACCCATATTTGAGACAAGGGTACATGAAAGAGGTCTGTCTTGCTGGGGGTAGAAAAATAAACATTAACTCTAACTTTCAATACCACACAACATACCACTGTTTACCTCTCAATGTTACTACTATTACACCCCACATCACTGCTTTGTACTCCAATTACTACTATAAAGAGGAGAAATGTTACATAAGTAAAAGAGAGAACACTGGCAGTCTGAAATCAAGTAACAAAAGCAAATAATTAGCACAACGTTTGCCTCTCCCTGGGGCCTGCAGGTATTCACACTGGATGGATGATTTTACCACACAGCTGAGGACACTCGAGAGTACTCATACATGCATACCAAAGCTTTACTTTCTTTTTAAACATTTAGTGTGTGTATGAGAGAGAGAGAGAGGAGAGAGTGGGAGAGAGAGCGCATGTTTATAAGCACTCATGCATGCCACAGCACTCACTGTGGAAACTAGAGGACAATTTGTGGGGAGTCAGCTCCAGGGATTGAACTCCGGTCAGACGTGGTTTTAAACACCTTTACCAACTGAACCACCTTGCTGGCCTGTGCATATCACATTTTTGAACAAAGTTCGAATCTATCCTGTTTTGTTAAGGCGGGCATTGCCTATGAGCCTAATTTTCCTACAGGGAAAATACAAACATTCTTGTTAGACAAGAAATAATTTAAAGATTACAAAAATGTAAATTTCACTTCAAATATGCTGCATCTCATAATCAGGAGTTAGATGTTCCTGTGTCATACTTGCATACTGACACTGTAATGTGATAAAAATTTATATTTTAAAGACACCTTAATTATACAGTGAGAGAAAACCAACCTTTACCATTCACTCTCTAAGCACTGTCATATTACACCCATACTAGAATATATTGAAGAATCAGTGAAAATCAAATCTGAACCAAGAAAACAAAAATGCGAATGCAAAAAGCCTCTAGAAAAAAATAAAACTGTGAAGTAAGTTGAACTTAGCAACTGTGTGCATAGGGCAAAATCTAGAACACTGTTTTTATGTTAACCTTGGAAATGATCACAATCATAATGGAGCCAATAGTTTGTATTTACCTCCAAGTCGTATAAGAAGGTCATATTACTCATGTTACCGGAGCAATTTATGACAGTTATAGATAACTGGCATCACAGATTTCCCTGCCAAAAACTTGTGTCACTACTGTTAACCTAAAACTTAATTTTGTGCCTCTAAGAATACAATACAGTTGGGCGAGGGAGTGCATGCACATGTATAATCCCAGCACTCTGAGAGGCAGAGACAGGTAGATCTCTATGATTTGAGGTCAGTCTGGTCTACGAAGTGAGTCCAGGATAGCCAAACTACACAGAGAAACCCTGTCTCAAAAAACAAAAAAGAATACAATACAACGTTAATATAAGAAAAACTATAAATTTTGGCACAGAAGTCTGAAGCTCATACCCCCTACTAGGTTGCCATTCATGTATGTCCTCCATGTCGGCAAGAAACATCACAGGATGCTGCTCTTGTTTGTTTGTTTGTTTGTTTAAAGATCAGGAACACTGATGGATTATAGAACAGTGGGAAATCCTTTACCTAGCCTGTGTGAGTCCTGACTTTAATACCTTGGGAATGAGGGGAGTCACAGTTTGAAAACAGTTGTTTTGAAATTGACAGCTTTGAAACAAACTATACGCAATTAACTATGTTACTTTATCTCTGTAAATTTTATCTATAAAAGTGAATTTTTACCTCATATGTTTTGAATCTGGTGAAAACACTGGCATACTATAAGCAAACAGTAATGTCTTCTCCTAACAGAAACTAGTCTTATCAGAGGCCCAGAAAACAAATTTTAGATTGAAACACCAAAGTGCTCTTAACGTGCTAAAAACAATGTCACCTTGAGGTGGATTATAGGATGAAGTTCCAGGACTGGTGACATGTCTGGAGACACAGAATAGCTTCAGGTTATTTTTCACCGTCCCCGTTAGGTCTACACTGACCCTTGACTCGGGGTTGCTTAAAGGCTAACCACATCACCATTTGAATTTCTCCTGTCCTAGCAGCAGAAAGGTACGACAGTCCCTGAGGAGGATTCCCTGTCCTAGTTTCTGTGATTGAAGAAAAAAAAAAAGCTTTTCTCCTCGTTCAAACTTGGCGGAGGAGGAACCCGGAGGTGCGGGGACGCCAGGTGGTTGCCCAGCCAACGAACCCACTTCCTCTAGAGACCCGGAAGTAACACACAGCCCGGAACCTACGCCGAGCCGGGGTCAGCAGCGGACCCTCAGCGGTGCCCGCTCCGCGACTCACGGGGTAGGACCGTGACCCACCACCATTCCTCCACTGGCTCCGCCCAGGGCCCCCTAGGGCCCCGCTCAGCAAGTCTCCCGCGAGCAGTCGGTTCCGTCCACCCCGCGCCCCTCCGAGCAGCCCGCCGCGGCCCGCGGGAGCGCGCGCCCCGCCCCTGCGACGTCACACCTGCAGGCCCCGCCCCCACACCGGGCCCTCCCCGCCACACACTCACCCACACACTCACACACAAACACACGCCCCCTCCCCGCCCGCTCCTGCGGGAGACCCCTCCCCCTTCAACCATTCGGCAGAAGCCGAGGAAGGGCTGAGGCACCGGGCGGCCCGCAACTTTCCCCGGGGCGAGAGGGAAGCCCAGACTGTCCCAAAGCCGCGCCGCGCCGCGCCGCGCCGCGCCACGCCACGCCACGCCGGGAGCCGGGCCGGGTGGGGGTTGGCGGAGCGGGCGGGGGGGGGGGGGGGCCCCCCCCGCCCCCACCTGCGCGGCCCCCCCCCCCCCCCCCCCCGCACGTTCCAATGCATCTGCCGGCGGAGGGAGGGGGCCCGGCGGGCGGGGGCCAAGCAGGCCCGGCGCCCCGTCCTGCCCGGCGCCCCGCTGCACACTCGCCCGCCCCGGGCCGGACGCGGCCCCGAGCCGGCAGGCACCGGGACAAATGCTCGCTTAAAATGGCTGATTGCTGGCGGCCGGTCTTCGGAAGTCCCGGCGAGCCGCGGCCGGGACCGGGAAGGCCGCGAGGGCGGCGGGGCGCCCGCCCTTCCCCTCCGGGCCCCGCACCGCCGATCGCTCGGCGCGCTCCGCGGACGCTGTCACCCGAGCGAGCGAGCGAGCGAGGAGAGAGTACCTTGGTATTTGTTGTCCAGCTCCCGCAGCACCGACACGTTCCTCTGCATGTCGTGGGGCAGCGACTCCACGCACTCCAGGTAGTCCTGCACGTAGCAGGTGAGCAGCCGGCTCCGCTCGCCCGTCAGGAGCGCGGCCGAGGAGTACAGCTGCTGCTGCTGCTGCTGCTGCTGCCCTAACATCCTGCCGCCGCCGCCGCCGCCGCCGCTCTCCGCCGCCGCCGCCGCCGCCTCCGCATCCAGCAGCCGCACATGCAACAGCCGCGACCGCCGCTCCTCCGCTCGGCGGCCCGGCGCCGCGGGGACACGGCCGCCGCTCCAGAGGGCCCCGCCGAGTCCCCCGATCTCCACTCCCCCCCACGAGAAGAAACCCTCACTCCCCGCCCCCGCGGTAACCAGCTCGGGGGCGGGGCGAGGCCGGGGCTCCCTCCGGCCCCCTCCCTCGCTGGGAGGGAGCAACGGGGTTCCCCGCGGCCGACGGCGCCGGGCTTCCCGAGAGGCGACACCGCCTCGTCCCCCCGGGGCTCCCCCAGACGCTACCAGAGCTGCCCGGCCGCCCGGATCCCCGTGACGAGCCCCTCGCTCCCCTCACGCCTCGCTCTCAGCCCTCGGCGCCTGTCGGAGTCTCCGTAGACTTGGCCCCGCCCCTCGGCCAGCGGCCGCAGCTGCGCCTGCGCAGGACTCACTCCTAATAAGGCCGGGGCCCCGCCCCTTTCGCCCTAGCGAAGGGTTCGCATTCTCCCGCCTTCCCTGCGCCACCCGCGCGATTGGTCCGTCAACTCTCGCCTGGGGGAGGTGGAGGGGCGGAGGGCGGCCAAACGGCAGGCGGGGCCCCGCCCCTTCTTAAAGGGGCCGCACGGCTGAGCCCGCCCGCTCCGCCCGGGATCCGACGGTTGCCCCCGGGAGGCCGGGCGACGGGTTTCTCGTTTCCGTCCCCTACGGGGATGGGAAGCGCCGGGGCGGCTCGCTCGGCCCCGAGTTACCGACCTGGCCTCCATCTGGCGGGTCCGGCGCCCTCGCGAGCCTCCCAGGACAGCAGCGAGCGGGCCCCCTAGGCGCCGCTGGCCGAGCGAGGCCCGCGGGAACGAAGGCGACCCAGGGTGCAGCGGGTGCGGCGCCGCTCCGGGCATGCGCGGCGGCCTCCCGCCCCGCGCCCCGGCTCCCGCCGCGGGGCTCCCGGGGCTGCGCCCTCCGCCCTCGGCGTCTCCACGCCCGTCCCCGCCCCCCGGGCGCCCGGTCCCCTGCCCCAGCGCCCCGCCCGGGCGGCCTGCAGGGTCTGAGCCCCACCGCGCGCCCGGCGTCCGGTGCAGGGTCGGACCTCTCAAGCATCACACGCCAGCGAGGACGTGGCGGGGTCGCGGAGAGAGAAGCACGGGCGCGGCCCTGTCCTGCCACCCCACGCGGCCGCACACACGTGTGCGCAGCCCGCACCCACGGCACCGTGTTGTCACCGGGGTTCACCCCCCGCAAGCGGGGGAGCAGCGCAGACGGCGTTAGAAGCCGAAGCCCCCCTGTGCGTGAGCGCCCAGCCGCGTGCTCTGCTAATAAATGTCAGGGACCTGCCAGCGGGAGGAGCTAGTCGTCAGGACGGGTGGGCTTCCGGAATGTGTGCAATTTGTAAGTTTTCTTCTGTCTTTGTTTAAGGAACGGGCGTAGGTGAGGGAGCGCTCGCCGACTTTTTGATGAAACGCTTGTTTGCCCCCCCCCGCCCCCGCCCCCCCCCGGGAGCAGCGTCCTTGAGAGGAGAGCAAATGGCAAAGTGATAAAATGTGGGTGCTTTTGCCTGGCTTGCAGCGCGGCACCTGTTGCGCGACCTGTTCCGAGCATCGGTGTACGCTAAGCTGCTGTTGGCGTGCCAAGGGAGATCAACCTACGTCCTGGTCCGGAGGAAATTTTGAATCCCGTGAAACACCACGGATTCGGCGTCCCGAGGACAAAGGACAATATGTAGGACTGGGAACTCGTCGTGTCTTAATATTCTTTGACACTGGGATTTTGACCACTGAATAATAGTAAGTCAACAGAGGCAAGCCCAGCATTGGATTTCTGAGAACTTTGGGCGAATTTTCTTGCTGCCATCCTTTAAATCTTTAATGTTAAAGAGCCAAGTCTTACTGAAAATGATCATTAAGATTATTGACTTGGTTTTTTTGTTTTTGTTTTTTGTTTTGTTTTTTGTTTTACCTGAACTGAATTTTTAGTTTTACAGATTTGATTCAGCCAGTCCTCCCTGAAAGATCAAATAAATTCAAGACGCCGTGTTTCTTATTGATTGTAGTTAGGCACTTTGTGAAACTGAATTTTATGCAGCCTGCACACTGATCTATAGGTAGACTTGATGTGTGGAAACTGAGGCAAGTTGGCGATGCAGAATTTCTAAGAACGAAAAAAGCAAGTTAGAAAGCAAGGAAGGGTTTTGGAAAGCATTTTTGTTACCTCTAATAATTCTGACAAATAAACTGAAAGAGGTAAAAGAAATCCAGATAATTGTGTTTATTATCTGTAATAATAATTTATAGTGATATATTATATGTATTAACAGTTAACTGTAATTGGGTTTATTACCCCTGGCACTAGTATAAGCCTTTACGAACTTCAGCTATAATAATATGTATGAATTATTGCCGGTGTGCTTTTCTTGCTTTCTATTTCCGCAAGTTAATCTGATCCTGGCATTTTTCTGAAAGTAGCCCGTGCATGGGATGGGAAGTAGGCAATGTATTTCTCAACCCAACTCTTGACCATAGTTATTTATCGTTGTCCTTTTCTTCTAAGTAGCCACTCAGTTGGGTTTTCTAACCCTACTAAATGCAAAATTTTAAAATCCCCCACTCTCTACAGTATAAAAATTGATATTTAATTCTGCAGGGTGGGGGGATATTTATTCTTTAGTGTTTTGTTCTGCTTTTAAACTGACCTTGAAAAACATAAGTAGCTGATGCCCTCAAATTAGTGTGTGATTGGCTTTAAGTTATGGGACTAAGTATAGTATATATACCTTTCATTAGGTCTCTAATGGGAAATGTCCCCAAGCCTATTTCCTTTATAATAAACGTTTATATCCATAGTTAAGATTGTATGAAATGAAAGAAACAATCTCAACTAATAAAAAGCAAACTAGCAAGAAGTTCTGAGGAGAAAAAAAAAAAACATTTTCTGCTTTAATCAAGCCAATTAAATTAGAAACTCTTCTACTGCTTAATATTTCTTTTTTTTTCCTTTTAAAAGATTTATTTATTCATTTTTATGCATGTAAGCGTCTTCCCTGCAGAGATGTGCACCAAGTACACGCCTGGTTCAAAGAGGCCTGGAAAGGGTGTCAGATCCTGTGGAACTAGAATTGCACATAGTTGCGAACCACCTTGTGAGTGCTGGGGACCTAACTCAGGTCCCCTGGAAGAGCAGCCAGTCCCCTTAACCTCTGAGCCATCTCTCCAGCCCTGATTTTTTTTTTAACTTTTTAACTTTTGCTTTTAATTTTTTTTTTTTTTTTTAAGGTTAGCATACAAAATAATGGGCTTCATCATAGCATCTTCATACAAATATGTCATAGGCCAGGCTGGCCTCAGACTTCAGGAAATCTTTCTTTGTCAACCTCCCAAATGCTGTGGGTACAGGCATGTGCTACCACAGCCAGCTTAATTTTGTTGTTGTTGTTAGCTTTTTCTGAGGTAAACTTATAAATATAGAAGTGTGTGTGTATGTATGTATGTATGTATGTATATGTATATATGCCCTTTGCTCATGGTCCACATTGTCAACATATGGCTATGTTACTTAATCCAAAACCTTGTTCTTTTTTACCCTCCGTGGCTTATTAAAACCTTAAGTGGTGGGGCTATAGAGTTGGCTCGGTGGTTAAGAGCACTTGCTGCCCTTGCAGAGGACCTAGCTTCAACTCCTAGCACCCACAATGCCGTTCACACCATTCCTATCTCTACTCTCAGGGCATCTGACCCCCTTCTCTGACTCCTGTGGTGTCAGGCATAGGCGTAGAGCACCCACATCCACGCAGGCAAACATTTACACACATAAAACAAACTAAAGACCTTTTGTATAAGACTACAGCAGGGCGAACAGCCAGACAAAAGACGTCTTCTGTGACTCTTCTTAGAAGGTTTATCAGAGAGGAGTGTCTAGGCTACGTAGGTGCTTGCTCTACCCCTCCTCCTATGTTCTGCTAAAATTCCCCTTGGTATAGTCTTATGTAAACGATGTGTAGGGTGAGAACTGTTCCTTCAGGAAATGTGGTAATGGGATATACTTGGTGCTTCTCAGCACCCACCTGGTGACTCACAATCATCTGTAACTCCAATTCCAGGCCATCCAGTGCCCTCTACTGACCTCTGCAGTACCAGGTACGCACATGGCACACATACATACATGCAAGCAAAACACTCATACGTGTGTAAAAAATAATCTTATGTGAAAATACTTCACCTATGAACAGAGAAAAGACAAGAGTCTAGACACAGATTCCCATTACCCTAACTCATAATTTTCTTATAATTTAAATTTTCATTTTCGTTTACTGTCTCATTTAATCTTTTCACACTTGGTTTAACGAGCTCCGATCAAGTCTCAAACATTTCATTTGTTTAGTGAGAGCTTACCTAAACCAGTAAGAACAGTTAATTCCTTCTTCAGTTTAATGAAACATCCATGTCTTTCTGATATTTGAGTGGTTGAAAAGCACTATGTAAAATGTGGGGATATTCAGAAGAATTACCTTAAATGAACTCTTATAAAAAGGTCATCAAGCCTGGTGTGGCACACTACTGTAATCCCAGCAGTCTGGAGGTGGAGGCAGGCAAAATATGTGAGTTTGGGGCTAGAGAGATGGCTCAGCAGTAAGAGTCCTGGTGGTTCTTCCAGAGGTCCTGAGTTCAATTCCTATGGTTCTATTCCTATTCCTATTCCTAGCAACCATAGGAATTGAACTCAGGACCTCTGGAAGAACCACCTATAATGCAGTGTACATGCAGATAAAACATTCATAAATAAATCTTTAAAAAGATCTTTGAGTTCAAGGTCAGCCCAGTCTACACAGGGAGTTCTAGGCCAGCCAGGGCTACATAGGGAGACCTTGTCTCCAAATTATAATAAAGGTCACCAATTGACAACTCACTTTAGAAATGTAATTGTACCTAATGCAAGTGAGTCCTTAAATCTAGATGTTTAAACAAGGATGTGGTGCTACATGCCTTTAATCCCAGCACTCAGGAGGCAGAGGCAGGTGGATCTTTGAGTTTGAAGGCAGCTTGGTCCACAGAGCAAGTTCCAGGACAGCAAAAGCCACACAGTGAAACCCTGTCTTGAAAAACCATAATAATAATAATATAGAAATTTATATTGATTTTAATGTACTTTATTCCTGACAGTCCTGTGAAGGATTTTAAATTATCTTTTTCTTTTAAGATTTATTTAGCTTATTATGTATACAGTCTTCTGCCTGAATGTACACCTGAATGCCAGAAAAGGGCACCAGATCTCATTATAGATGGTTGTGAGCTACCACATGGATGCAGGGAATTGAACTCAGGACCTCTAGAAGAGCAAGCAGTGCTTTTAACCTCTGAGCCATTGTCTCCAGCCTTAAACTATCTTGAAAAGCCCAAAACAATTCATCAATACAAAAGGCAACCAATAAACTTGCTGAGTAATGGTCTATATCTCTTACTGAGCTCAGTTTTAAGGCACATTAGTTGCTTTATAAATACAGCTAATATACACTACACTGGTTAATTTAAAAGAATATACATAAAAGTCTTCATCAACTGAAGACGCCTCATACCACTATCTAAGTGTCTGCTGAAGATGTAATTTTATTTTAGCAGGATTTTTTTTTTTTTTTTAAGAATACACTTTGGCTAGAATGATAGGACAAATTTAAGGAAATATCAGACTCTTTATCAGGAATGTCATATGCAGTCTATCAGCTTTGGACTTGGGCTTTATAGTGGTCCTGTTCAACACTGA